AAGAAGGGAAAAAATAAACTCATGATTATGAAGCCATTAGGCTACGTGGCAAAACAAAAGAGGAGAGGAGATATCTTTGAGATAATTCCCACCTGATTACCAGCACGCTGAACTTCCTCATGATAGGGGTCTCCGGCACCAACACCACGGGGTGGTGGACCACGAGGGGCCCCGCCACCACCGTGCGAGCCGCCTCGTTGCGGTCCACCATTTTCTTGATGGTTTATTTCATGTTGAACGCCTCCATGAAAGGGTCCGCCGCCACCACGCATCGGCAACTCCCTCAAAAGACCCAACTTTTCTGCCTATAAGGCAAAAACTTAATGGTATCGAAACCAACTTAAACAGATAAAACAGCGTAGGATACGCGAACCTCAAGCTTCTCCAAGTCGAAGATACATTCGATTTGGAAGGTAATAAGCAATCTAGCTTTATCAACGGCATCCCGAGTGCCGACGAGAGTAAAACCAGAAACCATATCTTTTTCTGCCGGAGGCGCCAGTTCTGGATGCTTGTCCTCGACCTATAAATAAGGAAGACGACGGGCAAGAAATTACCAAAAAAGTCGATCCAGTTTTCGATGTACCCACACCCAATGGCATGTTTCAGCTTGCAGGCGCCTGTCTTATGAATGTGATTGTTTATTTGCACCCGATATAAAGCATGAATGCGCGGCAGCTATCAGTGCGACAACATTCCGCTCTACACCAATTCCAGCTCATTGTCAAATTGGTCAATCCTGATAGGAGATACTGTGCAAAATTGCCAGCTGTAATAAAACCAGTTTAACTCCATTCCAAAGATGAAGAGACCGACTTGCCAAATTCGTTTGATGGTATTTGGGTAAGTTCCTCACAACTCCAAGAGCTCGGAAAGCAGTGGAAAGCAAAGGAAATGAACTGAAAGCGCTACTACCACCTCATTAAAGCACCAAGTCCTTCAAAATACTAACTTAGAATGCGGCAGAAACCACATCTTTCAGGCAATGTGTCTATCACGAACATATCGCTGGTTTTTGCTAGACCACCTACTACCACCCCCACACCCAGCACATCTAAAGCACGCACCACGTCAGTCCTGCAAGACTATGTTAACTTTGTGTAAGTGTTACGGACCGCAGACGTCCTCTACGGAGGTCGAATCAAACGAGTGAAAAGCGGATTGAAATGGGATCGGTAAACAGGTGCACTCTTACGAGATGCCGCCTGACCTTGCACTCCATGTCACACAGTCACCATTGAGATCTACATCTTAAAGCATGATCAGCTACTGACAAATTCACATTCTCTGCGAACCTTCAGACGATCTCCATCTTTGGAGTTAACACTGTCATAGACAGGACACAAAGCTAATGTGGGTAGCACCTAAATTCTCCTTTAAACAATGTGTCAATGTGTTTTGGCACTGGTAGCCGCATTAAACAAAATAATAGTTGCAAAATTTTACACGACCACTTCATTTTCTAGGTAAAAACAACAGACTTATTCCGATTACTCTATATCCTATGACACGAGTGTGCGAATGAGTCAGCGAAATTGACTACAGTAGGTACGGCAATGGAGAGAAAGCGAGGAGTGAAACAAACGCGCACATGCGTGCGTGCACCGCATCACATCCTACCTAACACACGCACACGTTGTGACCCAAACTGAAAGTGGTAAAGTAATGAAATGAGGGGAAAAATTGCAGGTGTGTGCACCTACAAGGCAAATAAGAGATCCTGTTGTTTTTACCTTCACATAGTAAGGAAAACGGCCATCAGACGTTGATTCTTGATCAAATACTTTGGGAATTTGCTTAGGGTCGCTGTCCAAATAGATATTACGCACACCCGACTTCTCGCTGATTGCCACAATGTTGTTCGTACGATTACCCAACACTCTACCGATCAGACGTTTGGGTACCAGGAGACACATCTCGCAGAACTCCAGCGCCGCTCTTGCCGCCTTTGCTGCTTCAGCAGTCTGGAAAGGAAGAGTGCCGCACTCGTAGAGGGCCTCATCGGTATTAAACATATTTAAAGAGCATCTTTTACCTCGGCGACCACTTTGAAGCGTGCTAACTGGTCAGTAAATGAAGAGTTTCCCATAGAGTCTTGAGGGATTTGGCCCTCGGAATCCGCGGCATTGGCAGATGCAGAAGGGGCAGATGGACCATTCCGCTGCAGAGCCGGTTCACGCACATCAATGCGCAAGACTCCAGGGATTGAGCGCGCAGCGCGAATATTAGCCCCTTGTGCGCCGATAGCCAAACCCATAAGGGTAATCGGGACACTGAATATCTCGACAAATGATCCTTCGTCTCCAGAAGACCAGGTACTACCGTCAACACCACTACCCGCAGCTGAACCATCCTTGAGCCCGCCCAGACCCTAAAGTGTCGAAAGGCACGAGTAAAATACGTTGCGGCGAGGGTTATTGCTTACGTCGTGGAATTTCTTAGCCTGATTGATGTAGCGAATTATGCCATGCTTTTGACGCAACATGCGAAGATGCATCTCCTCGAGAAGACCAACTATCCTTATCGTCTCGTGTGAGGTTGAAAGGACGACTAGATGGTCGTCTTCGAAGGAAAGGCTTGTTGGACCACCACAATGACGTTGAATGCTCTCATGGACTGCAAGATCCGAGGCACTGAAATGGGTGAAGTAACATAAATTAAATTTCATGTCCAGCTCGATGGGTGATACACGGCTCAAACACTCAAGGTGCGCTCATTTTGCATGACTCACAACTGTCTCCACTCATTTTTTAAATAGAATTGTCACAAGTGAGAATCCGAGTAATTTTACATCGAGGACAGGTAACCTAAGTAGCGGTGTAGGCAAATATCCATGGGCGAATCGAGCAGTTTCTTGAATCAACAGTGACCAAATTACCAAATAAGTAGGAGTGGGAAAGACTCTAGGCATTTGCGTCTGTATGGCATGCCTACGATTTCAATACGTGTATCTTTATTAATGCGCTAAGAGATATCTCTCAACACCCAATTTGTAGACGGCTACTCATGCTGGCGATTCTGAGAAAGTCGCTAATTCCAATAAACTCAACCAATCTGTGTAGAAAGGACTAACTTGAAGCGAAGTGCGCAACAGTGATGATGAACAGCGAAAATTACAATATGCTCCAGAGGAAACTCACTAGGGCAAGAGATCATGGGGTATGTTGATCTTATGGGTGAAGAGCGCCTCAGGACTCAACGTGGGAGCATCTGCCGGGGTGGCAGGGCGGAGCATTTTACGTTCGCATATCTCCGTCATTGCGGAAAGGTTGGTAGCCAGCTCCGTGTACTCCTTTGGAGGCGGCGGCGCTGACTCATCTGCAACCGGCAACACAGGCCGCAATTGAACCACCGCATGAGCGTCGCGAACCTAACAGCACGCAAAGGAGGCATTGCTGATTGATCTGACAGACACGCTTGGTACAGCAATCTGCTGTTCTACAATAAACCTCGAGCTCATCGAGAAAGCCTTTGCTACCACAAGGACAAAAGTTCCTTCGCACCACCGCACCTTCGCAGCAACGGATAGGCAGGTCCATTTGCATAAAAAACCAGCTCCTTACGATTCTGCCATAAAGTTTACTGTATTCTGTCCGTTACCTCAGTTAATGGATATGGGGCCCAGCCAAGCAAATGAACTCATGGGCTTCGTAATCTAGCGTAGACGCCACGTTATAACCGTCAAAATAATGATTTGACCAGGATGAATGAACGCAATCGGAGCCATCTTAGAATTCCACAAAAAATGTGATATGGACCCTTACCACATATTTTTTTAACTAAATGTAAATGTTCTTTGAAGGCATGGCATGTGACACTAATGAATAAGGGAAAAATTAAGCGGTCATATTTTTACTAAACGCACACAAATGGTATGATGTCAGTCAGACGCATACCACGACCCAGATTTACGCAAGATTTTGCACATCAGCTATCAGTACACGTCAAACGCCAATGAAAGATGGTAGGAGGCAGTGAAAATACCGAACTTCAATGCCCTTGAGACCCACAGAAGAATGAAAACGCGGATGACCTTAAGCACATCGAAGAAATTTGAGGTATATGCACAAGCCTTCGAGAGGTAATTGCAAAACGACCGCAAATCAAAAGATTGACGTACCTTGGTGACTACACACGGCCACCAGGAGGGACAATTCAAACAAGCAAACGGATTTGCCAACCGCGAGGTAGAGGCTGGTTGCTGAATAGTTAGGGGGATTTGCAAATTCGCTAGAGCCTCAGTGAAACTGTTATCCTGCGGATTCTCTTGCACTGTCACAGGTAGTAGAGCCTCAACCCTTAATTGCGGACTCAATGTCCTAGAAATGAATTAATGAAAATTAGGAAACACTGAGTAGTATCTAGCTGAAACTTCAAGCTGAAAGGTGGAATCTTATCAAGCGAGGCGTTACAAGGCCCTCGAATGGCCATTCGTAACACAGGGAACAGTCCCTTAGTTTACAATATCCCGGCTGCCTCCAGTAATTTATCAAGCGTTAAGACGATGCGTAGACGAGCACACCACACAATAACGAGAAACGTGGTTAGTTAGGTCGTTCAACATACGTGCTAGGAAATCTGTTACTTTCAATCATATCTAGATCCTTGTCCCTAACCAAACAAACGGACAAGGGTGATGGTAACCAACTGCAGAGAGAGCATAACCCACGAAATACGAAGAAAATCACGCCTAATGGAAAACAGAAGCTCTGAGTGACTCACAAGATTTCCGATTTTTCTGCAGGAGGAAGCCTGAGCTCGCTCAGAGGAATCAGCTCCTCCGTCGAAGGACTAAAATTTGTTGGAATATAAAGCAAACTTACTCATCCGCGTATACAATTACGCCTTTGTCCTCAACTATCCTTCTTAAAAATCCCTTAAAACGCGTAAGGAAGTTCAAAACTCAGTTACCTTAATGAACTGACCATAGTGTCCCTTAATTTCAACTTCAATCATCTCCAACACTGTATTGGCGCGAACAGTCAAAAGTGTGGATTATAAGTATGAACCATACCGACACAGTTCAAGATAACAAATTCAAAGCCCATGATAAAAAAACAAATCACAAAAATGCAAACTAGTATGCCATCATTTATTAAAAGTACATTTTCTAACTTAATTTAAAGTCAATTTAATATGTTTAGGACCAAGTCTAATAATTAATATTTCAGTGGAATTCAGATAATTTACAGAGCATTTAATTCAGTTCTTACAATATTAATCATACCACGATCCTTATTAGGTGCTAACGTGATTGCTTTTTGCAATCCTCTTATTGATTGTAATGCTTTGTTTATGTGACTACCTTAAGTTTGGAAGTTTTTAGGCTGGATATATGTAGTCTGAATAGAACGGAGAAATTGGGCCCGAGCATGGCCCGAAGGCCAGCTCACATGTACAAGGGTCTGACAAAACCTAAGGTGACCGTCGAATATCATTTAGTAACATCAGTGAAGCATTACAGTTAGACATTTGTGAAGTTTTGCATTAACTTAATTATATCATAAACTCAAAATTATCAATGCCATTTATAAGCTTGCACGTTGCTGTGCTTTAAGATGCAGACTAGATCCCAGGTTATGCATGTATTGAGCTAATTTTATAGCTAACAATTGTACCCTCGGTTACTTAAGTAAGCGAACTTATTCGTCATCGTGATTTTACTTCAGGCAAAGCGTTGTATGCCGTCCATTTTTTTATATACTGAATGAAATAGCTAAAGTAAATGAAGTATAAAATTTGTAAGAATTGTAGTCTAAAGAGCTTAGCTTACATTTCAGCGAGTTCGTAACTTATTCAGCCTTTGAGGAGTGCTTCTTTCGAACCAGATAAGGTAGCCTACGTTTTCATGTTTTGATTTTCACGTGCTCTCCGTTCACAATGACTGATTTGTCAGCCGAAAGGCAAATGCAAATGTTTGAAATTGAAATGATGCAGAAAGTTTTTTCGAGCATGACGAAAGCATGCTTGAAGAAGTGCATTCCTCCTCGCTATCATGATGGCGATTTATCAAAAGGTGAAGCTGTTTGCCTGGATCGCTGCGCTGCTAAGTTCATGGAGGCCTACATGCAAACAACGAAGACTCTTGGAGCTATCGCTAATCCGGGGTTGCCATCTCAGTGACAACCTATTTTTGCACTGAGCACACTAGATGGTACGAGTTATCCACCGCGTGTTTCTACTTTTCGTTTGTAAAGTTGCGTGGGATACGTCGCTTATCCTTTTCAGTGTAAATGCACATTGGTTATGGAGTTGACTAAAGCATTGCTTAATCTTACTGTCATGGATTTACAGCATCTTTTCACTTTGGGCTGTTCATCCTTGAACTCTGATGATCTTGAATGAGGCTGTGGCTAAGGTGACATCGATTCCCTTATTCGAAATCGTACACGTCCTCTGCATGTTTTGTGCTTATTCTCATTCGGACTTTCTCGCATGGTAAAGGAGAATAATTTGAAACTCGTTTTACAGCCTCCTACTAGCAGCTGTTATTTGTTTCAGTACTATTATTGTTTAGAGATGGGAGGGTATTCAGATAGACATCAAAGGGGCTGGTGTGCGCTGCTCCCGTTCTTATCGGGGGCACTATCTATTCCTTGGTTTCTCCTGTGATTGAGAGGTGCGTATAGCAATTATCGAATTGAATTCTGAACGGCATGGTGGAGATGTGATCGTCAATATGGGAGTGAGCGTCTTCCGCGAATTTGTCCTAGGGATGGTCATCCTTGTCATTTTTACCTTCTTAGTTCTATGTAGGAAGAGAACTTGGTAGCTTGCAAAGGTTTTTAGATTAATAGAAATATCGGGAATCAATGTTGTCTTCTGAGGAATTATTTTGCTTCTAGACGGTCAGAACTTGGCTTCGGATGCGGAGTTTTGTCACGCTAGGGAGATGTCGCGGGAAGTGGCGATCTTGACTCATCATCGCAAGTTCAAAAGGTCGGGCAGGTACAGAATTCTGACAGTTTGCAATTGGTCAGACACCGAACATGAGCGCTACGTTGTGGTCGTTCTTCGGGTAAAGTTCTCTTCGGTTTGTTAGTCCTTCCTTGGTCTCTAGAAA